CGTTGAGTTAAACATTATTTTTTTCTAGGTGTCGTACAATAAAAATTCTATTAAGTATTTTGCCTACGTAATTATTGCTAACATAGAGTGAAAACTTGATCAACTTGAAGGTACTATATTAAGGACATAAAAAAATAATTGAGGACAGCAACTTCATATGCCTTCAAACACGTTTAATGTTTGATTGATTGAAAAAAGTAGCATTGATATTTCTCTTTTAACCACTAACGTTACGTATGGGTCCTCATTTTCTTTATGTTTGATTGAAGTATAGGGAGGAGAGGTCATTTCACGCCACTCCAACACCTCTACATTGTCAAAGAGGCTCAGATAACATTAATATCTCTATACTGATAGAGCCCATTATGACACTATTCAAAACTACATGGGGATGCATCGCCTGTTAAAAAGAGATCTTGGTTTCCTCAATCCTAAATTTAGTGTAATAATAGACAAAATAATATGTATATTATCATTAGGCTGGACTAGATTTTTGCTAATTGTATTTGCCTTAATATATTTGACAGCCATTGTCCAATTGTTAGTTCTATTCTGAAAGCTCGATATGATCCTAATAGACTTTTTAAATTCAACATTTCTAGTCTAAATACTACTCTGATGAACATGGTATCATCTCTTATTCTTAGATTCATATTGATACTTTTTGCTCTTCCTTCGATAATATATTTAAAAACTTGTGTAGCTTGAGGGATTCTCTATCTTTCTGGAATAAACATCATTTTGCCAGCTTGGAACAGTAGGTAGAGGGAAATGAGACTTTTCGAATCTAATGAAGCCCTGGGTACTTTATATGATTCTAAGTTTATTAAACTTTCTCATCACTACAACAAATTTTTTTGCTCTGATCAAACAAATTAATCTTAAATGGTGGTCTACAATTAAATATAAGTAGGTTAACGAGGGAGGTCTTAATATAAAGTACTATCATGTTATTGTTTTGGCTAGAAGAAAAGATAATTTTCTTCATCACCTTAAATATTGATTATGTGTTTATTTTGGACATTGAAGATATCAAGAAATAATTTATATATTTTCACTCTCAACTCTAGATGGAATAAGTCTTTTAAACTCGTCCACTTTTGATTGATTTAATCTCGATGGTTGGGGTGTTTCGTCCTTAGAGCATCTTGACCTGGTCCATCCCTTTAGTAGACATGAGATTTATGATGATCTCATATCTTTAGGATTGGAAAAGCCTTAGTCTTGATGGGTTCATCATGGAATTTTATCATTTTAATTAGACAATCATTTATAATTTTATGTTCCATGCCTTCCAACACTTTCAAGTGGACTAAGACTTTCAACATTTATAGTTTTACTATCCTTATTTTAAGTGGACTAAGACTTTTCCTGTGTTTATCCCTAAATTGAAGTGTCATGTTGATATTAAGGATTTTTTTATTGATTTCTTTTGTGTAATATCAACTATATCACATTGGCTAAAGTTTTGACTAATAGGCTTAAGGGACCTCTTACTCCCTCATTAGATTCTAATGAACAATCAACTTTTCTTTCTAGTAAATATATTCATGATAATATTTTGGTTTCTCAAGAGTCTTTCACTCTCTCTATATTTCTAAAGGCAAGAATTTTTATATTCATATTAAGATTGACTTAGAGAAGGCTCATGATAGGTTATCCTGCAATACGATTCTTCAAATGTTACATTTGGTCAATTTTTCTCCTAGTTTAATCACCAATGAAACCTTGTATTTCTTCCCCTTAACTTTATATGCTTGCTTTATAGTAGTTTATTACTTCTTTATAAGGTTAAAGAGATAACTACTTAGGGGATCCCCTCTCACCCTTCTTATACATCGTCGTGGTGTGGTTCAGCTGTTATCATTTCTTCTCCGTAATGCTTGTAATAAGAAAAATATTACTCCTTTCTATTTTATTTTATTTTTTAAATTTATCATTTGATATATGCAGTTTGTGTGTTATAATATGTTGATTAATCAACATGTTAGCGTTTCTAAGTCTAAGATATTATTTCCCCATAGTGCTTGTAACGGTTTAAGAAAGGATGTTTGCAATTTGTTTAATATTAACGAGGACAACTTCACTTTTAGTTACTTGGGCACTCTCATTGCTTGCTTCTGGATGGATTCCGATCTCATCCATGAACACCCTAGTTGAACCTGTGCTTAACAAACTCAATCTTTGGCATGGTTCCCTATTATCCCAAGCTACAAGTATTGTCTTCTTTTCATGTTGTGCTTCTTCGTTCTTCAAATACGACTTAAATGCCTAATACTATTCTTAGTAGCAGTGTTAGGTCCATCAGAAATTTTTTGTTTTTTGCTACCAGTGGTGATTTTAGGGGTCTACATTTGCTTTCATGCAACACTGTTACTCTCCCTAAGTGTGTTGGGGTTCTCAGGGTTAAGAATTTGCTCTACAAACTTAAAATGGTTACTCTTTACATTTCTAATGTCGATGTCATTTGGGATAATGTTGCCAAGGTCAAATATGAGCTTATTTCTTCTAAACAAAGCTAGAGTTGACATTTATTTCTTCTTGCTCCTGAACATTTGAGAGAGAGTTTTCTAAATTTATAGGCAATCGTACTACTATTAATGTTTCAAAGGATACTTGGATTTTGGATATTCTAATTGCTTTGAAGCCCACATTTTGTAATGTAAAAGTTTTGGATGCTTCTCTTGTGGTTTCTGATCTTCTTGTAAATTGACAATGGAATATTGATTTATTAGATTCTTTATTTGGCCCTATTTATATGCTTCACGTGTCATTAACCCATCAACAGAAAAAAGACAGGGACATCTCTGATCTACAAGCATATGCTATGGCTTCACAGGATCTAATTGATGCCAAATTTGAAGATTTGGAATCTCGGATTGAATCGTGGCTTGAATCGCGCTTGGAGGACAAATTGCGTGCTTTGTTTGCGGAATTCAGAATTGGACAACCGTAGAGTCCAACCAAATTTCAACTAGGAGAGAGTTCAGAGAGGCCTCCTGAGAAGGAGAGACAACTCTTGGACATGCTTCAGCTACGCATGAGGGTGGAACATTACTTCTGCGCGCGTCGAACATTACTTTCGCTACTACCAAACGTCAAATGATGCTATAGTAGAAATTACTATCATCCACCTTGAAAAAGATGTTATTCAATGGTACAATTGGCTCGAATACAATCATAGGGCTCCGACGTTGAATTAATTGAAGAACGCACTATTGAATCATTTCAGACCTCCGGAGTATGAAAATATCGATTGCCAACTCGCAAAGATTCGACAAACCTCTACGATTCAAGAGTACCAAACTAGGTTTGAGAAGCTATCCTACCTCGCTCATGATTGGATTGACCGTCAATTGTTAGGAACATTCATCGAAGGACTTACGTCAGAGATAAAAGGGGAGGTTAAGGCGCGATAGTCCCATACCGTAACAGTTGCGATTTCTTTCGCCCAAATACAAGAAGAACGACTCAACCGAGATGCAAGGAGGAAGAGAACCTCTCCTAGGCCCGTGGCATATAAATTGCCTTCTGCTCACAGCTCTCCTTTGTTGCCAAAAAAATTGACAAGAGAAGAACTACGTGATCGATCAGCAAAGGGTCTTTGTTGGCATTGCGACGAGCCATTACGCGAACCTGCAAACGATGAATGTGAGAGGACTTCTGAAGCAATAGCCTATCACCGTTCCTATTGACATCAGGAGCACTAATAATTTTATGAACAGTAAGGTTGTTATCTAGATGGCCTTACATATTAATAATTACAACAGGTTTGACGTTAAGGTCGCCGATGAACGAATTTTAAAGTGTGATCGTATGTGCCCGTGGGTAAAACTATTGCTGTAGGACCAAGAGATAATTGCATATTTCTTCCTCCTCCCTCTTGATGATGATAAGGCCATGCTCAGCATCAAATGCTGACGACATTATGTGATGTTTCCTGAAATTTTGTGAAACTAATTATGATTTGATTACTGAAACTTGATTACTCCGAACAAGAAAATCTATAGATTTCTGGTTATATCTTAATCTTAACAACAAGTCAAAATGAAACTATTGATCTCAATATCTACTTTGATAGGATTTGGAATTCCTCACTCAGTCTTGTGCTAAAAATTGGTCCCAAACACCTTCTCTAGAATGAACCATTTTGTGTTTTATTTTTTCGTTATGTTATGTCGTGTTATTTTTTAATTAATTATTTTATATACCCTTGCATGCGGCGCATTGGGATTAAATATACAAATAACTATGTCAGGGGACAAAATCCTGACATTGAACATGGCAGTTGGTGTGGCGACAGCATCTTTGCGAGAGGGAATCCTGACATTGAACATGGCATTTGGTGTGGTGACAGCATCTTTGTGAGAGGGAAGCCATCTCGAGAAGTCACGAGGCACGAAGAGAAACTTAGTTGGTGATTGATGCGAATAAAACGAGAATTATTTTTTGAACTAATCAAATTGGAGGTTTAATGGTTGAATAAAGATGAAACATCCCAAAATGGACCAACTCATATGAGTGGATCACTCCCACAAGAATATGTAGATAGATTTTGAAAGAAATTTAACCATTTAAATTAAAAGAGAGTTCGATTGATACACACATGGAAGAAATGTTGAAAGTTAAACTATATTTATAGTTTGAGAGTGAGTAGACTGATGAGTTTGACACAATTTAGAGTTTGTAACAAAACTTAAGTTAATATAGATTATATACATGATTTATAGTTTCCATTACGAGCGTGAGAGCAAGGATGATGGATGCAAAACTAATTGTATCTCGTCTTTTTCCTATATTATTGGATTCAAAACTAATCATACCACTTGCAAGATATTTTGTCGGACGTCAATTAAAGATGATGGATAAGCTAAAACATAAGGCAAGCAAACAGGAGCGTACAGTCCCTGATGGCCCATTCGTTATCTTCTTCTCATAAAACGTGTTACTTACGGAACCAAACCAGATTCGAGACTCTATAAATTGCTACACAAGGCTGCAGGCTCTCGCCATCCTCTCATCACTTGCATCCAGATCAGAATGGAGAACATGATTTCGCAGCCACACGTTCCAGGTGATGAAGTGGTGATTCGCAAGTCTGCAAGCTACCATCCCACCGTTTGGGGTGATTACTTTATCTTACAGGCCGAGTCCTCCCCCAGTACAAAGGCATGTATATACACATATATCTCACAAATGTTCTAAGTTTTAGGCAAGAAACTCTCCGAGAACGAATGATGTTAATGATTCATTTACATGAAAAATGTGCGCATGCTACTTTCTTTCGGTTTTGTTGGTTGAACAATTAATTGCTATGGAGGATGCAGGAGTGCGATGCAAGGATGCAAGAGAGAGCTGCAGAACTGATGGAGCAGGTAAGAAGCATGTTCAAGGACACTACCGACATCTTGCAAACTATGGCCTTGGTCGATTCAATCCAGCTTCTTGGATTGAGTTATCACTTCCAGAAAGAAATAAGTGAAGCATTAAAACGAGTCCATGATGCCGATTTGAACTGTCATGGTCTCTACGAGACTGCTCTCCGGTTTCGACTGCTGAGACAACAAGGGTATCATGTGACCCCTGGTAATATGCTCTTACGTTTCCTTGGAGTAGATGTATTTGTATGTTTTCTCTATAATTTTGTGTTCGCCTTGTATTTAATTCAAGCATAGAAATATTGTGTTTGCAGAAGTAAATCGATTTGTTTTTTAGATATGATGAAGGATTTTTTTTTAGGAGAACAACTTAATCAACCCATCAAAAAAAAAGTCACTGACCAATCAATCCGATGGCTTCTAACAACATTAGCTGGTCAATTTGCTACAAAATTTCTTTTCTGTACAC